ACTGCTGGGGAATGCAGTTCTGTAGTTCCACTCAGCTCTATGGAGCTTGGCCCTCTGGCCCATTGTTTTAGTTCAACACCTGTCTCCACCTTGGAAACAGTAATTCAACAACAACAGAAGATGTTTAACTCACTTTCAAGTGCAGATTTTGAGACTATAAGACTATGAGATGCGATTGAAAGTCCAGGAAAAACTGTAAGCAGACCTGAAGTTAAGATTTGTCATAACTTTTGTCTGAAATGTTAAAAACCAAAGCTTGTTATGGCTACACCATTCCACAAATGGAAACATTTTAGATACCTTGTGCAATATCTTATACAATTTCAGCCTGAATTGAGAATTTTGAGATCTTAACAATAAATTAAAATACAGTTCTGTGGGTTTGAACAAAGTTTGGCTGCGCAGCATGAGTTTAAAGTTGCTGAATGACATTAATTAATAAACTGATTTTAGTTTTTCAGTTTTTGTTCAGTACCAAACTTTGACTCCTTCCTCACAAAAACGGCAGATCCACTCAGCAGCTCTGTTAAGTTAGCCTGTATTTAGACTTCCCATCCATCACATGTAGACACAATCTTACACTGACTCAGTTCTAGTAAGCTGTACTGAAACCACTTCAGTACCCCACAAACCATTAGTGCTCACCACAGCACAAGGAGGATAAATTCAAGACCTCACATACTAATTATGTGAAACCATCAACAGTTAAAAGAAAACAGGAAATAAAGACAATTATGTTGTAACCAGCAACACACATAAACATAAACTGTAAGTGTAATTGATTTTTTCCCCCATATATTGAGGTTTTTCTGATGTCAAAGCAGAACTCCTCCGACCACACAAATGACTGCTGATCACGGTGTATTGCTTTTGACTTGTGCTCTTGGTGGATAATTCAGGCACCCTTTTTAAATCTCCTTACAGTCTGCCCTTGGGTCCAGGCCCAGACATTGGGCACCAGTTGGACAGTGCAGTGGCTCTTTGTGTACACTAACCTCATTCATCCATGAAAAGGGCTCTGCAGACATTAGTAGAGAGATAGAAAAAAACAACCCCTGTGACTTTATATACAGAATATAGCTGAGGTGGAAGTGCTAAATGTGGAGACCAAGGACTGCTAGGGGCCTCAACCTCTGGTGGAGGTTCCTCAGTATTCTCAAGGGGGTTCCATGATGTCTAGAAGGGCCCTTGATGATGAAAGTAGGTCCTCAAGGGTCCCTCTAGTGACTTGAAACTGCTTGTAGACCCCTAAAACGTTCCAGTTTCACAGTTGCTCTCCTGTAAATGGTTTATCCTGTAAATGTTGGTAAAAGGTAAATGGACCTGT